GGACCAAACTTTGCACACGTACACTTCGGGGCGGGGCGGGCGTCGTGTGCTACTTTTTGTTATCGATCAATATCGATTTTATCGAGTTGCAAAGTTTGAGCTACGAGAGACTAGGGCTTGGCGAAGGGGGTAAGTGAGGATGCCGATTACGATCAAATCTATGACAGGGGCAGAGCCGGGTTCGCCAGCTAGTACCTAGTAAGATATACTTGCTGTAGTTACCATAATCAAAGTTTGAAGATAGAAAAAATATTCAAATACGGATGATAAATCCGTTCCAGTAATCTTAGGCTCTATCAATTTTTGTAGTATACAAAGGGCAGAGGGCTCCACACGCTCTACCTTTGTATACTACAAAAATTCAAAACATTGACCATGAAATCTCCTTGGACGTGCCCTAGTTCTTAAGGAATATTGATTTTTTTAATGGAAATCCCAGAGAGATTGAAGAATACGTAAGTTGAAAAAGTATAACGCTAGCAAATTTTATACAAAAACTTGGAAGAAAAACAGGAAAGCTCAACAAGCCGTCTACCTCATGTCTCTCTTTTTGATTCGATAAAGGCTGAAAATATATTATCTAACACAGCAGATGCGGCAGAGTGCACACTGCGTGTCTGATGCTCTCTCGTCGAGCGTGTGGCCTCTGCGCCTCTTGTCTTCATCATTACATCGCCGCCGTCTCTCAACGATAAGGCCATCTTCTGAGGCTGGCGTCTGTTCAAAATAAACGTTGAAGCCATCATGTGGGCGGAGTATCGAGTCGTCGCGATTTTTGGGATCGGGTTTATATTATAAGAAGATATAAGTCACAGCTTTTTCGCACGTATGAATGAACTTATAAAGACGAAATACATTGTTCCCCAACCTTTCCTCAATTTTATAGACAAAATAGTTCGGGTTCAACTTCATTAGAACATGAGCTTTTCTCAATGAGCATTCAGGCCTACTGCGAGTGTGATGAAGGATTTAGCGGTGAGCACTGCGATGTGTTGAGTCCACAGCTATCGTTTTTTTCGAAAACCAAGGTAAGTTACTCGAGAGTTTTGCTTTTGCATGGCAAACATAGCGTAACCAGAGTTCAATACTGTCCGCTGCAAACGCTGGAGTGCTCGTAGTAAGTGCGGGCGAGATCTTGATGATGATTGTAAAAGGACTTATGAAGCTGCACTTTCCGAAAAGTGGAGAGGTTTGATTACTTAGTCTGAAAAGTATGAGCTAGGGAATTGTAACAAGAGTAATTCTATTTAGGATACACAGGTTTTTTGCCAAAACATGCGTTCATTGCTCTTGTCATTGGCAGGATTTACTGTTCTCTTTTTTCACCATCCAGCACTTTTTAACATAAATGCATTTGCATGCGGTGTATGGCTTTATCTTGAAACCACGTGCTACTCTTTAAGTAAAGATATTATAACCAGAAAACCAAAGAACAGAAAGAAAATATCTAGGTATTGGCTTCTTTACTCTGGAATCACAAAACGTGCACGAAGTAGTATTTGGCAACGCTAGAAAGAGTCAGTTTTGGAGCAGAGAAAACAAGATTCCGTATGAAGCACCGCCAGTCGCTGTAAGTCTGCAAATTTTTGGTTCAACTCGATAATTTAATTTTGAGATCAGCTCCGTCGCAATGGGTCTCATACTGGGCATAGGCATAGCCTTGACTACGGCAGCACAAATGGGCAAAGTTTGTTTCTAAACTTATTTACGTAAGAAGACGACAGACGTTGGCCTTATCCAGCTAGTAACAAATTGGAGCTGTATGGGACATTTCTCTCAACAAACGCTGAACGTTTGGTTGCCCATTGTTATCTTCAACACATGTGCAGCTCTTACAGCAACTTGCTTTGCTTATAAAAGCTACTTTGTACTTACAAAAATTCCTCAATACCGACACGGGACGAATGTGTACCTGGAAACAAAGGAACTCGACGTAAAATCCTGCATCGAAAAGGTTCGGATTACGTGCTTTTCAAATTTCGCAAATGCTCTTTCTACAGTGCTATCGCAATGTGGCATTCGTTGCTTTCGGTCCTTGGCTTCTCTTGGCAACGTGGATAACCCTTGCTTTATCATTTGACTGGGTCACAGTTGGCTCCATCAATCTGTACGCCATCCCTTAACTTCTCAAAATTTTACTTAAGAATGCTCCGCTTACTCTAATATGTGAAGCCATGTTTAGAATTGCAATGATGGTGTCCTTCGCCTACACTGCATGTAATTTCCTACAATCTGCTTTTACAAACCCAAACGTGAGCTGTACATCTGAGGAGTACCGCCTTTACGTGAAAAGCTTTACTTCTACATTGTAGTCATATAGCAAATACGTACGGCTAGCGATGAAATTTTGCCCCAAAACAATTGCCCCTCAAATGGATCCTGTGACAATGTGGACTAGAGACGAAGTGCTGAAGATGGGCAATGCAAAGGTAATACATGAGGGAAAGTATAGGAAGATAACAACAATCCAGTCTCAGTATAGTCAAATTTTAGAATTACGTATCTTCTTCCATCAGAGATCGACTGCGAATTCAATGGATGCAAATGTATGCGAAGACTAAAATTGAGCAAAGTTGCTCCAAATCGGAAGCTTTATATGCAAGTTTACATTTTAATTTGTGGTGATACTCCTTTCATGTATGCTTATTAGAGCGTCTACATCAATGAAATGGGTAATAGAGCATATGGTGCAAACCTTAAACAAGCCGAACAAATCAGGTGATTTGCATTTTGTTGAACAAAAGTTGCCGAATGAATTCCAATATTTTTATCTGCATGGAGTCTTAGTGAGTTCTTGGCAGCTGTGAAACCAGAGCAGCGTCTTGCGTAGTTGCCTTTCTACGTTTGTGAATTAGTGGAGCTTTTGTAACACTCCTATTTCTCCAATTTGAACAGCCCATTTACGTAGCTGATTGTTGCTAATAAATAAAAAGCACAACTAATGTTAACAGCTATTTTAGACATCTGAATCAAGCGTGGGTTGCGCGGACGTACAGAAAGGATCCTCAGCCAGATCCTGCACGCAGCACCAAATGCGAGGCAGAGGTATTTAAATTACTGCAGCTCAAATGCGTAAAATGACCATCATGGACAATCGCTGCTTACCAGAAACAAGTATTCTAAAGATAAGATAAGCCTGAAAGCATGTTGCATGGAAGAGTCGTATTGTATTAGAATGATGAATTACAAAAATTATTGGAGCTATCGGTTTTGGGACTTTCACAACTTTTGCTATTAACGAATTTTGCACTGCGCAATGGAACCAGGCTGTTTCTTGCTCTTCGTTGATTTGATGCGATGATGCAAGCTGCGTATATCACTGAAAAGAACTGACCATGCTTTTCATGGCAAACCAATATGGAAAACAAGCTGCTTTGAATCCTCAGCTTCGAAAGAAAGATTTTTCAAGCGGTAAAAAGGTGCATTTCCAGCACTTGCTAAATTTCTTTGTTAAAGAAAGCGTTATGCGCGTTTTGACCAAGGAAGGTGGCGTTTTACCATCAACGGTAGACAAGAATGGGTTTGGATTGTTCAGAAAAAGAGTTGCGTAGCGTCCCTGAACAAGACTTTGCAAGATAGGCAGGAGGTTTTGCACTGAAAATCGCTGGACAAGGTCAAGGCGGTTGCCCAAACCTTACGCATCCCAAATGCACCGTCCAAACGAATCTATGCAGAAAAGGCAGCCTAGACACTTTCAGTGAGCTTACTGCATTGAAAGACTTGGTCCCTACGACAAACGTTGCACTAGCTGTCCTGCAAGATTTGACTGGGATGACCTTAAAGCGTCCATCCAAAATTTCGCCTCCCATGCTTTTGTCATTCTGGGGCCCCTCCGTGACATTGATTCTAGTTACGAAGTGAATTGTCCAAAACCCGAGAAAACTAGATTTCTGAGGACCCTGTCTTGAGAGCGAGTTTCAGTACATGGGCGTGAGGTGCTTGATAGGATCCGGCGGGACTTGATAGCAGTTTTGCTGTTCCAGGCCCACTATTTCCATTCAGACTCCATTTAGAGACCATTAGAAGACCGGACCAACGCAGATACCCCTCTCCTGTGGCATAAATTCAGAATCGGCACTAACCTTAAAAGGTTAGATTTAGCCTGGACACTGCCTTCAAGTATACAATGGTATCCAGTGTACTCCCAAGATTCCCTAGCATATTATCATTCGTTCCATCTATTACAAATCGTAAGTGCGGCGTTTGTTTTGTTTCCGAAGACCATCTCAACTGCTTTTTAGAACTTTTTTGGGACCCAGACAGATGGATTCGGGAACGAAACTGAAAATTCGGCCGCATGGAGGCAAAAGGTTGCGCGCAACAACGGAGCATGTATTACCTGAATTTTGCTAAAACGTAGTCATTTCGTTGTTTTATAGAAACTCTACGAACTTATGAAATGAGCCATACAAGGACCCCTGTCATGCACAAGATCTACTCTGTTTCCCCATATATTTCTATAAAGCATACTATTTCTACAACATAACTTTGCTTCTCCAAGGAAAGCTTGCTCTGACCCAGCATTTGCTGTGTCACGAACAAAAATAATCGATTTACTGTTTTGTGAGCGTCAGCATTGTAAAATTTGTGCATTACCTTTTCAAGATGTAGTCAGCCAAAGTAATAAACTTCTACTAATGAACTGAAAAATATCATTTGTTGCACTTCATAGCTGAGGCGTTTTTCTATTTTCAAATTTGAAATGTGTGAGATTTGCATGGCTGTTGCTTCACAATATTTGCTTTAGTTCTTTCCATTGTAATCACACTAAACTCCAGCTGGATCAACTTATGAGAAATTTATGTGATGCTTGGAATGGCACGAAAGCTTTGAAGAAAACCAAGTTGAAAAGTACTTATGAGGACAACGAATTTCTGGTACTACTTATGCAGTTTTGACAAACTTTTGAAAACGCTTCTATTTGTAGATTGCTCTAAAAAATTATGTGGAAGTCAACGATTACGACCCGTTTGAGTACTGCCCTCTAACAATGGTGGATGGACAAGGCAATACGAGAACCATGAAATGCTTGAAAAAACCAACTGAAATAATAGACTCTGCGGTACGTTAATCGCCTCACCACATTGTGAATCTAAATCGGTTGCTGCAGGTACTTAATCGAATGCAATGCCAATCAAACGCAATTATTGATGGATCACATAAAAGTAATGGAAGGTTCGTTGAGAAGTTTTTATTTTGCATGATTATGCTTGTTAACGATTATGAAGTCTCATCATTGATGATAGGTACTTATCAGGATCAACTAGATAAATTGTTCACAAGTAAATTGTAAATTTTATTGATTTTCCTTATATACCATATTTTCACATAGCTTATATTAGGTTAGCGAAAAAATTCTGTTACATTTTATTTTTATTTGTAGAAAATCTAAGAAACTTCTAAAAATTCTGGTGTTCTAGGGATGTTGAAGAGGTTCAACAGACAATCTACCCACCGGTCTGCCAGATCCGTGGTCCGCGCGCAAAATACCCACTTTTTGGTGGGAGTGCGTTTTGTGGACATTTTTGCTAAGGGGCTGGCATTCTTCCAGGT